CGGGCATGCCGTCAGCTGTCGCAGTCCAGACCAACTGAGGCATCGTATCGCAGATGAGCTTGAACCGCTCTTCCTCTCGTTCCTTGATGTCTGTTATCTCCTGAGCCATCGACGTCACATCGCGAAACGTGACCACGCCAGCCAGGAATTCGCCCGTGATATCGTCGGTTATGGCTTCACCTAGAACGTCAAACTGCAGCTTTTCGCCAGCCTTGTTGTGCATACCGACGCGCATGCTCGCGAAAGGTGTTTCAGTCTGGAGGAGTACGGAGATCGGGTACTCGCTTACATCCAACTCTCGCGAGAACGTCTCATCCCAGCACGTCCATCCGGGCAGGAGATCAAATCCGTCCACGGACTTTTCCAGGTCGCCGTCTTCGCGTAGGAGGTCACGGGCAGCTCGGTTAGGGAAAGAAACACTGCCATCCTTCCACATGGCTAGTATAGGCATCTGTGTATTGTCCAGGAGTGCATCTTTCATCAAGATCATCTTTTGAAGGATAGAGGGCGCGCTTGCATACGCCGCATTGGAGGGTGGGCCCATGGGGGGGAATGTATTCGATGATAAGGAGACTGCGCTCGGGCTGATCCGGAAAGACGGTGAGCTGGAGTCGTGGCTGGAGCTGACGGATGGAGGGTTGGAGTTGGATATGGTTTTGCGCTCAGCAGCATCCAAGAGATTAGACTTGGCCACCGCCTTGCTCAAGGGTAAGGGTGTGGGCGGTGATTGTGTACTGGTAAAGGAGAGGGTGAAGTAGACTTGATTGTCTTCGATTTCCCAAATGGTCACAATCATCTTGGCGTACACCTCATAGTCGGACTTTTGCGTCGAGCCCCGGGGCTTGAAGCCCGGCCTTCCAATATCCTTTTTCGTTATGACGACGTCTACCGCAGCATCCTTGACGGGACTGGCTGAGGGATCTCTGCGGTGTCCTGTCGTTGGCGGTGGCCTGGCATCGGTTGTTGTTGGTGTGGATTCCCCGTCCATCAAGTCGGCAGCCGCAGCTGCGTCTTTTGAAGTGTGTCGCGAGCCCATCTCCAGCACCAAGGAGTCAAGGAAAGATTCCCACACCACCCACACCGGTCGGCCATCTTGCAGCATGTCAATTCCAACTTGAGACAGTGACTGACCCCGCAGCTTCTCGAGCGCATGAAATGAATCGTCGGCAGTATCAGTTTCCAAGCCCAGCATGCGACCCATGGCTTCGTTGGCGAGGACGACGGTTTTGAGATTATTGAGGACCAGCAACGGGACGGGGAGATACTGCATGGCGGAGAAGGCGAGCTGGCCCGGTGTGACATAGGGCATGGAGAGACGAAAGGGGCTGGAATTTTGAGATCGCTGGTCGCCGGTAGCGAAACTCGGAGGGTTGTTGCGAAAGAAGCGGTTGGCGGACGTCGATAGGATGGAGGGGACATCATCGGATTGCTCAGGATTCGAGGTAGGGGTTGGGCGGGCGTCAGAGCTGTGCGACGATGCGCCTCGCGCCTCCGGGATCATGGCCGGCGGAGGTGTCCCTCCAGGGAGAGACGATGCGAGAGCAGAGGTGTGGCCTCGCCCGCCATGGTCGCTGGCAGGCATGGAGTCGAGTGTAACCATTCTGGTGCTCGCCGGCGAGGCATGTGATGATAGGCAGTGGTGACGCCGGGGCTGCAGTGGTGGAGAGAATTGCGTCGAAGGAGGAGAGTTGCCGGTTGCAACTGGAGGGCTCTGGAAATATCGCTGGCGTCGTGGGCGTGGTTGGATGTCGCGAGAGATGCGTGTCAACAGCAGCGCATGGTGTCGAAGAGTGCGAGTACTGGCTGGTCACTGAGGACGATGCGAGGAGGATACGAACAAGTGCGACACAGCGGTCCAGACCTAGCCGGCGGAGGGGCTGACTCGGCCCCAGTTGCACGGCCAGAGAGTTTATGGTGGGCTCAGTCCAGTTCGCGATCTCGGTGCCACGCCTGTTTGGTAGAGCTAGGACGTGAGCAATTGGGCGCCAACCCGCGATGCGTCGAGTATGTTGTGTGCGCGGACTGCGTGTGGGTGTGTATATAAGGTATGTATATGTGTGTCAAGACGCTGAGATGCCGAGTGGTATATCGAATGTGAGCGGGCGTTTGCTGTGGTATGTACAGTATAGAATTTAGGGCCAATTCAGTATCACGCAATCGCTTGCTCGTCTTCCCAGTTGCTATGCAATGTCGGTGGTGGCAGCAGCAGCGTTGACCCGTTGATGAGAATTGTGGTCTAGAACGTCGTGGCACACGGGACGGTGTTATGGATCAAAGTCGTGGAGACGAACTGCAAGCACCTGGGTGGGTGGGGGGTTCCGTGGAACACGGCGGGGCGGGCTGGGCGGTGGTGGTGGTGGTGTTGCTGGTGGTGTTGCTGGTGGTGCTGCGGCGACGGCTGGGCGAAGCGACAAGACAGCAAGCAATGACTTTGTTCGATGGATGCGTGTGTGTTTGTGTAACGAGGCCAGAAGCAACGAAGAAGGAAGAAATGCGGAAAAAGATGTCGGAGCGAGACAAGTGAGGAATTGACGGGTGACGAAAACAGAAAGAAACTGACTCGAGCTCGCTCAGATCAACCCTGGTTCACGCCTCATGGAACGTCGGATGCGTGTGACTACCTTGGGTACCTACGGTACCTAGCTGCTAGGTAGGTAGGTAGGTAGGTAGGTAAGGTCCCTTTGGGTAAGACAAAGGAGAAAGAAGAAGATGGAGGCACGCAGAGCTGAGAAATCAGTGGGCTCGGGAAGCGTGGGTGGGAAAGTGCTTGCATTCCGCGTCAAGGGGGTGAAGGGCCAACATGGGAGAAAAAGCAGCCATCCTCCGTCATAGTGTGAACTTTGTTTGCCTTGGAGGAGGCACTCGAGGCGATGCGGACCTTCACTTTGGGAGCCACCTGCAGCAGAAGACGATGGGAAGGAAGGGGGGGGTGCTTTATGCTGGGCAGGTACCATGTAAGTGGGGGGGGGTTCTGTTTAAGCCCGGTACTTGGCCAGACAGAGTTGCCCCGTCCGGGCAAGCAAGGTAAGCTCTTCTGTTGCCTGGGGGGGGGAAGGAGGAAGGGGAGGGCAAGAGGTGAGGTGGGGGGGGGCTGGCACAGGGAGCAGGACGGACGAGGAAGTTGCAGTGGCATCCAGGGCCCTAGAGTGAGAGCAATCACTCCTGCCTCTCTGGTGACGACCCAGCACTAGGTACCTTGACCTCCAGCTCCTAACCACCTCCGTGCTGTGGAGGGGATTTAGTGTCCTCCTGTTGCCCCTCCACGATCACCGTACGAACGTAGTGGCGGTTCTGGACCATGACGAACCCCACCCCAGAGACAACCATCGCCACCTGATCGAGTGAGAATCGACGGCCACCGTACACAGCTGCCCTAGGGTGCCTGTCGACGTCCCTGGAGCTTGTTCAACCAAAGTGCTGAGTAATTACTTTATGTATATGTATGCGCCATCATGAGTGCCTACCTCGGTAGGGAACGCAGAGTCAAAGCATAAACCTGGGGCTAACATGGCCAGATGCTGTGCACCCGACGACCGAACCGCGCTCTGAGGATCACTGTCAATCCCTGTGAAGCAACAACGCCCAGGCTCTCGAACCTCGCGCAACGAAGATCAGAATGCCCCCTGGACTATGACCTCTGGGCGCTGGTGCACCATCGCAGGTCAGCCATGATGGTCACGCCCCCCCGGCCCCACCGAGACGAACGGGAGTAGCATGTGCCGGCCGGTGGTGGCAGGAAAAAAAGCAGCCAAGGCTACAGTCGCCAACAGCATCATTCCTTCGCATACTGTTCGCCAGGCTCCCAGGGGGGGGAGTCGGCTCCCGAGTCCGCACTGGGAGGTGGTACTGCAGATCAAGGGTCAGGGTTTTCGGGGTCCATCCACACCTGTCTACAGCTTTTGCCCAGCCAAACTCCTGCCGATCACGGACGAGGAACACGCGACGGGCGGGCGAAATGCGCCCTATTGCTGTTGACCAGGCGATGCACCTTGACACGCCGAAGCAAACCATTGCCTGCGATCATGACCTGGACTCAGAGGAGGGCATTTCGATTGAGATTGACCAAGGACCTCTACATGATGTCAGCAGAACGAACCAGCAACCAGGAACCAGTTGGGCAGAGCGGTGAATGAGGCTGTCAGCCAGCTGGATGGAGCTTGGCGACCAGGGCCAAATGGGATTGTCCCCTTTGCCAATGATCGAGCAACGGGTTCCCCATCCGTGGGCCAGCGGAGACTCGCTGCAAGACACTTGGCACAAGAGACCCTTCCAGATCGAATTTCGCGCCGGGGAACGGTGCAGCGCAACCTCCCCCCCCCCTGGCACCCAAGAGGGCCAAGTCCTGCAGGTCTTTCGTCTGGGGGTTCGGGGGCGGCCACCCATCGCAGATCACCTGCCATCTTGGGGCCCTGAACCCCCCCCCCTCGCCCCCTTGCTCGTCTCTGCCGTTCCTACGTCATGGCCTGACTACGAAAACCACTAGCACTGCCAACCCGTCTGACACGACCGATGGGCAGAGCAGCACGACTGTCTGGCAAAGCCGCCGGGGTCCCGCTTCTTCAGCAACACGCTGGCGATCATGACAATTGCGCGCTCCGAAGCTCTGACAAAACAATACGGCTCGATGGGACATACGGGCCCGTATTGATCCAGCCTCGTCAAAACGACCATGTTACTACCAGCCGGGCCACACACCACCAACACACCACGTAGCAGCTAGCAACGGCGAATGCCACCACCGGCGGGAGAGATCGTCAAGTGGCGACATTGTCAGCACCGAGGCAGCTGTCGTCCCGCAGCGCTCCTCTGCACTACCAGAAAGAGGCGAGCCCGCCGATCACGCAGCAGTCGAGCTGCAGAGGCAAGCAAATCCTTACAGTAAGGTGCCTAGGATCGTCATCAATGGACCCTTAAAACCCGCAAACCCTGGGGCACAGCAACGGGGTGCTTCAACGGATTGATTCAACAAAATCTTTACATGTTACTCATCACTAATGTACTCATCGAGAATTGTCCTTCATCTTCCCACACGTCCAGCATGTCCACCACTCTCGTTCCATCCTCGTCCCACAAAAGGAGCACTGCCAAGTCTGGGGTTTGCTCTTTACCGTAGGATTTGCGGGCGTCGCCGCAGGCAGCACACTTTTGGCCTTAGCCTTGGCCTTGGAGGGCGGACTGTCCGTAAGGTCGATTGTCGGTATGGATGCCGGCGTGGATTTTGTCGACGTTGACGCCGATGCTGTTGTTAACGACAGTGGCATTGTACGTCTTTTCTCCTCGTTAGGCGTCCATGACGTTCGCGACACATCTTCTCCCCGTTGTGTACCGCAGGCATCACAGGCGAGGAACGTGGCCGGGTTGTGCAAGGTACACAGGCCGCATGTCCATCCCTTCTGCGTAGTCAGCGACTGATCAGTAGATGCCCGGGATGATGAAGCCAGGGGTTGCAGCGCCGATCCTGAGGTTGGCGGTCGCGTTTCTGGCGCAGGGACAGAGGGCGGCGGCGGCAGCGGCCCGCCATGATTTGGCATAACGGCACCTCCTTGGCTGCCCTCGGGATGTTGGGCACTGGGGGGCACGTAGTAATTGCCGTACTTTTGCTTCTCCTCCTCTTGCACGAGCTCCCACAGCGCCTGCGAGATGGCGGCCTCGTTCGCCGCGTCCTCCTCGGCCTGCGTGCGGAACCCGTTCCTCGTTGCCGTCTCCGAGATTGCTTGAATTTCCCTCTCGTTGTGGTGAGTTCCCGGGTGCCAAAAACTTATTGCGGCGCTCCGCCGCCGCGGCGATCGTCCTTCGTATATCCTGCCCGGGCCTCGGCGCAGCTCCACCGAGCCTCTGCCCCGCGGCGGCGCCCGTGGCTGCCCCTCTGGCGCGTCGCCTCTCAGCCGCTGCGCGGGCCAGCCGCCGCGCCTCGTGCATGGGCTTCTGCCCGCCGCCGCCGAGGCGGTGACCCTCGGACAGGAACCCCTCGCCCGTGTACCCCTTCATGACGAGCCCCATGTGCTCGTCGCGCAGCTGGTTCCAGAGCGCGTGAAACTTGCCGTCGTGGGGGCCGTGGACGATGTGCGAGAGCTCGTGGAGCATCGTGTCGACGACCTGCTCGATGGTGACAAACTGCGCGCGGTCGCCCGGATGGCGGAGGCGCAGCAGGATCCTCTGCCCGCGGTTGACGTTGAGGCCTGCGCGCGTCGTCAGTGCTCGCCTTGTTTCCCGAATCCTTCCTCTCCTCTTGTCTTGTCTCCCCTCACTGCTTTTCCTCCTGCTTTTCCTCCTTGAACATGCACGCAAAAAAGAACAGGCGCCTACCTAGGAGGTTGTGCTGTTCGGGATAAAACTCGGCGAGCTCGCCCACCCGCCAGCGCCGCGCGCGCATAATGGGCTTGACGAGCGACGCGACCTTCTTCAGCGTCGTGAGGGCCTCGCCGGCCCGTGGAAAGTCGGCCAGGTGCGAGTACGCCTGGACGAGGGCGTCGTGTTCCGGCATTCTGGGCGGCGACGCTTGCTTGGATAGGCAGGGTCGGATTCGGTACTCGTCGGCAGCCCGTCCTTGTTTGCATTAAACGAGAAGAAAATGGGCGGGGGAGGTTAGCGTAGAGGTTTGGCTTTGCTTCACTCTTGGATTGTTGCGGAATACAGTCATTGAGCCTCGTGAAGAAGAGACTGTCCTCCCCTCTGCCGGGCCTCACATGGAAGGGTAGGTAGGTAGGTAGGTAGGTAGGTACCTAGACAGGCAAGGTGAGCAGCAGAGCGAAGCCTCTGGAAGACTGCCAATGTCAGCGCCGAGGGGAACGACAGGCGCATGCCCCCCTGTGAGCACGCGTCAGGCTGTACCTGCCTGACGTGAGGTCGTCGGGAAGGTGTACGTACGTTGCCGCGCCACTGGTCGAGGTCAAGCGGGCCACGGAGGCTGGTGACTAAGCAGCCAGCATGGAATGCCTTGATTCAGTCGACGAACACGACAAACACACCATGGATGAGAGCATTTTGTTTGCTGACGACATTTTGATCTCTTATCATGTAGAGACCAATCACCAAGTTGGAGCCACCTTGTTGTCCGTATGGCCCAGTCTCCCTATCCATAAAACCCATGACGCCAAAAGTTCAAACCCTCCCAGCCGTATCAACCCCAAAACGCCTCGATTGTCCCCAAGTTCATGCATCATGGCAATTGCATCCATCCCTCATCGCACCTCCGAACCCCTCACCAGGCCCTGGCCAGAGGGCTCCCAATCTTGGGGGCAAACTGTAAGCTCTTCCTGCGAGCAGCCATCAACCTCCTGACGACATTGTCATCCTTCTCCCGGTCGAGGATGCCGTGGCCCATCTCGCTGTAGGCGTTGGGCTTGGGGGGACACGTCTTTATGCCCATCGGCGCACTCAGGGGCGAGCCATCCGACGAGCTGAGAGTGGCCGTGGGCGTGCCGGGGGTCAACTCGGCGGCGTACCGGGCCAGCGCGTCCGGCGCCGGCGTCTGCGGCACGGGCGTCAGAAGCGTCTGCCACTCCTGATCGTCGTCCTCTACGAGGTCCGATGGCGAGTGCTCCCAGGCCGTGCTTTCGCGTCTGTTCATGGGCGTGTTGGGCGCCGTCTGGGCATTGCGGCTGCCCTTGGTCGGGCTGGTGACCACCATGCCGTTGAGGTTCGCGAGAGCCTTGGGTTCCATGCTTTTGCGGCGACGCGCACCACCGCGGGACGACGACGATGATGTGTCAATGTTGTAGGGAGCCTCGTCGAGCCATGCATTCTCTCGCTCGCAGCTTTACATGGTGTTAGCGTCAATCGTTGGGTCACCACGAGACGGGGGGACCACTTACTCGAGAACCCAGCTCACGCCGACACACTGCACGACGCCTTTAGCTTGGCGGACCTTCTCCAGGGTGCGCTGGCCGCCATCCTTGTAGACAACGTGAGTGATGCCAATCTTGGAGCTGTCAGGGCCGGCACTGTCAGGGTTCCAGTTCCAGTTCTTGACACTGCGCGCACCCATCTGCGCAAGGAGCTCGACGAAGATGCCGCTAGCGTCATCGCCCTCACTGGTGTGCACATCCACAAAGACGACGGCGCCGCTGAGGAGTGCAGGGTCGACGTCCCGGCGGGGCGTCCGCGCTGGGGTACCCAAGGTCGACCAGACGTCAGACTTGGTCGGTGTGACAGGCGCAGACTGCAGGGGTTCCGGCTGCTCAACATCGTGCTTCGGCTCCAGAGCAGGCCTGTTGTTCTTCATGGGAGAGTAGGAGATGACAGTCGCGCTCCTTGTCAGGCCTTGCGTGGGCCTGCTGACGGGAAGGCGCGAAATGCTGGCAGCACGCTTCTTCTTGGGGCGGGGGGTCGAGTCGTCAGCCGCCTTCAGCGGCACCTTGGAGACCGTGTGGAACTCGCGGGTCAGGTTGCGGAGAGGCGTCGTCGGGGGGATGGAAAGACCGTCGTTCATGGCCGGGTCGACAGGCATCTCATTCTCGTCGCCGTACTCCTGACTGGCCTCAGAGAGGCTGTCGTCCAGCGCGAGAATGCTCGCCATCTCTTCCACCTGACTAGGCTCCAGCAAGGACATCTCGTCTGCTTCAGCGGCAAGCTGCATGTCTTCTTGCGTGATCATCATGTCGTCAAACTCGGGGTCATCCAGCTCCGCCATGATCTCGTCTTCAATGGCAGCCTCAACCTGCTGTTGGAGGTCAAACTCGGCGCGAATAGTCATCTCGTCCTCGAAAAATGTGCTCTTGGCGGGAGAGTAGTCAATGCGAACAGAAGCCGCGGGAGACTGCGCCGGCTTCTTCGGGCTTTCGACTGTCGGCTTCGGGGCGGACTGCCGCGTCTGCTTCGCAGGACTGGCAGCGGACCAAGCGCTGAGCTGCTGCGCAAGAGGAGTGAAGCCGAGCTTGTTGGAGGACTGGCCCATGCTGCGACGGGACGACGAAGCAGGAGTGGGCGTAAACGGGATAGCGCGGGTAGGTGAGCTCTGTCCCTCACCGCTGTACGCAATCTCATCATCCGAGTCTGAGTCCATGTCGTCGTAGGGCGTAGTGTCCTTCTCTCTAAGGGCAAACACGCCCATTGGCGGGGCAGGAGCGTTCACGGGACCCTCAGTGTCGTCAGCAACAGCTGAGACTGGCCGCTCATTTTCCTGGTTCTCGACCTCGAGTTCCTCGGTCATGATGGAGTCTCCATCCTCATCGGTCACTTCGTCTGCGACGACGTCTTCGTTGGGAGTGAGTTCATCGACGATCTGCGAAACCGCTTGAGCGCTGCTGTTGGCCTCTGCTTCGCGCACCTCGTCCTCGAGATTTTCATGCAGAATGGCCAGGTTGTCCTTGAGGGCGGGGTCGGCGTAGCGGGGAAGAACGGCAGACAGCCTGCCGGGGAAGTTGAGTGTACTTGGCTCTTGGAGGAGGATCTGGTCAGCCATCTGGTCCATGGCATCGTCGCCCTGCTCTTCGAACATGAGCTTTTCGGAGGATGACATGGCAGACGGCAGGGCTGCCGGGGAGGCCATGTACCCAGCCTTGGTCTGGGCCGACTGGGTCGCCTGAGAGGATGTCTCTGCCTCTGCGGAAGCACCAGGAGCCTTGCGCGTGGACGCAAGCGGTGACTCGACGACATTTTGAAGCCTGGGTGTAGCGTGGGTTTTGAACGGAATCACGGGACGCTTGGCTGGCGACTGAAGCAGGGAAGCCTTGAACGGTGAGCGAGAGGCCTCGGCGGTGCTGCGGTTGTGAGTGAGGAGGTTAAGGCTCTTGACAGCCGACTGCGATCGCTTGGCTGGGGAGTTCAGGAGCGACGACTTGAAGGGGGTGGCTTCGCCATTGGTGGAGGGCTTTATGGCCGATGCCGGCCGCAGGATCGTCACGCCGTCGGCACGCTTGGCTGGTGACTTCATGTTGTCTCTGCTGGGCGATGTTGGGGGCCGCTTCGCCGGGCTGCTCAAGGTGATCTCGGGTGTCTCTCCCTCATCGTCTGCAACGTCTCCGGCGGGCTCGGTCTCCCTGGGCCTAGGCTCGAGCTTCTTGAACGAGCCGAGCGCGCTGGAGGGAGGCTTCACCGGGCTCTTCATCAAGGCCTTCACGGGCGTTTGGCAGAGCTCATCTTCCGAGTCGTCTCGAGAGTGGGGCATCTGTGTCACCTTCTTAGGGCTGAGGGGTGCCTTTGTCTCCTTGGTGTCCTTGGCCGCAGCAGTCGCCGCCGTCTTGGTTGATGCCGGCCTCGCCGCTTTGGGCACAGGCGGTTTGCGAACAGGTCTGCCGCGCAGACCAGGTGTTTTCTTGCCCTCGTCCGGATCGACATTCTCCTTCTCGGGCTCTTCGAACGTGACCTTCTTCCTGACGACCGGCTTCGCAGCCGTCACCGTGGCAGCACGTGTGCGTGTCGCCCTCTTGGGCGGCTCGGACGCAGCCGGGGCATCTTCTTGTGTCGCAAGCCTTCTCGGCCGGCCGGGCCCGCGGGTTGTTGTCTTGAGGGCCGCCTCTTTGGTAGGCTCCGGCTTGGGCACGTCAGCGGCAGCCTTGCGTGCGGCAGCCCTGGCACGCGTTGCCCGTCCCGGGGCACTTGATGATGTCGCTTCTTCTTCGCCAGGCTCTTCGGCAGCCTTCTTGGGACGACCACGGGCCCTGGTGGCGCGTGCTGGGGCTTCTGTCGAAGAGGCCTCGTTGTGGTCTTCTTCGTCCTCGTCGGAGCGGGTTTTCCTCTTGGACGACGCTGTTGCTCTCGTGGCGGCGGGCGCTGCCTTGGCTTTGGCGGCGGCGGTCATAATCTTGGTCGTCTTGGGGCCGGCATCGCCAGCTTTGGCGGCGGCGCGGGCGCGTGTCATCCGCTTGGGTGGTGATTGGGGGTCCATGTTGCCTAGAGTTGGCGGGGAGTCCTCTGGGGGGGATGGGATAGTTTCTTGGGGGAGGGGGTTACAGATGTCGGGGTTTGCTGATGGGTTAGTAACTTGTGTTTGGGATTGTCGAAAGGTGGTCGAGTGTGTCTTTTCACATGGTGATGTGGTTCAGCAGGTTGGGAGTCAGGAGCAGGCCTACAGAGAGCAGCTTTGGGGTTTTTGTTGATAGTGTGGTCAGCGTGTTTCGTGTTGCCGGGTCAACATGGATTGGGTCCACCAGAGCTCCGCGTGACCAATGGAGGCCATGACATCAGGGCACCCCGCTTGGACTTTGATCCTGGCCGTCAACAGATGCCAACCCCGCCGGCAGCTGTCGGCTCGTTTCTCTTCATGAAGTATGCTGCTGGTGAGGTGAAGATGGAACATTGTTGTCATCGGTTTGGGTGTGGCCGTATGTGACGCCTCGCGTAGACCTAAATTTTGATGGTGACTTGAACTCAAATGACTGAGTATCGGGTCTTTTCCCTTCCTTTCTATTGCAGTCGGTCCACATTTACATGTCTTCTCATGGAGGGACCATCAAGTACAACACGCTACTAATGCATGACACAGCCTTATATCCAACTGCCTGCAACTGTCGTATAAGGGTATTCGATTCATGTCATGTCTCATCAGGCCAGTTTTCCTTATGGCTGGCTCTTCTCTTGACCGCGACCAGCTGCTTAAACTCCGAGCATTGAACAGTGAAGCGGGCTAGGATGGACGTTCTTGGCCTGGCGCCAGAGTGGTCAACAGTCGAGCCATGAGTATCATATCGAAGTCAGCAGTCCCCATTTACGTATGGTAATGCTTCTGAAAGGTCATTGGATGGCAGGAAATAACACGATGTCAATGAGATTCGCGAAGAGTATTGAAGAACCAGTGATTTGACTTGGACGGACACAATATGTCATGCTGTATCTTGAAACAGGCATCGCTTCACACCTCGTCACAAGGCGCACAAAGACACTACTGTCGATTATCCATATTCATTACGACATCGACACCAGCAGCAGATCTCCCATTTTACTTGTCAGAGAGACGAATGCTTGAGAGTTCGTGACAGATAGGTCACTCACTGAGCACTCAGCACAGCACACAGTACACAGCACCGCTCTACCCAAAGAGCAGCCAAAAGATGAAGCCCCACAAGAACACGCACTGATCGTGGTCAGAGCATGGAGGCGCAAGATGCAAAAAGAAGTGGACACGCCGGGAATTGAACCCGGGACCTTCAGCAGTTTAGTATTGATCAGATCAATGCTAAGCAGATGTCATACCCCTAGACCACACGCCCGTTTGTTGTTGAATGACAACGGTCTCTACGAAACCATATTCTCCGAAACAAACCCTCTTTCTCAGGTCACATTGCTGGTCTCATGTCATGGCTGCTTGCGTCCACACTCATGACATCCACAAAGACCACCCGCCGTTGAGGAATGCCACGAGAAACCCAGTTCCAAACCCTAGAGCCGTGGATGGATGGGGTTCCCTAATTCGCACACGGTCAACTAATTTTCATCCTCTGAACAGAGCCCCAATTGCCCATGACATGTTGCAATGGAGTCAGAAAAGGCGACTCGAGCAAAGCCACAAAGAATACCATGTACGGACTACTGTACAGGCGTCGATTGCCCCTCAGTCGCGTCGAGTCACGCGATCTCTCGAACGATCAAGCCAATGACTGATGGGACACCCTCCCAGCGAACTCCGCGAGGGCCTCACGACGCAAACCCCTTCGATATTGCGGCCGCGAAACCCGAAGGACGCTCGCACGACCGCCAGCATACGCGTCCCCGTCCGGACCCCTTGTCTTCCCCCCTTCGCGCTCGGGAATTTTTAATGCCCCGTTCCCCTGCAAACCCCCCATTTCACCAGGCAGAATGTCAGCGACAGGGCTGACTTCGGCGGCCGTGAGTGACATGAAGAATGACGGGGACAATCTTCGAGCCAAGACGGCAGCTTCGTGCCAGAGAGGCGGCGCGCCCTGTGAGGATGGATCTAGGGCGAGACAGACTTCGGCGCCAGCTTCTTCTGCTGAGGTACTTTACCTGCTAGGGGAATGGATGCCCCATCTGCTCACTACCAAGCGCCTTCACAGGGTGAGAGGCTATGTCCTGCTCACTCACCTCACTGTTGGATGCTTTGGTGCAACGCCACGATGTTTTCGTCACCGAGTCTTCGTTAGTCCTTGATGGTCTCCTTGATGATCTGTCCAAACACATCGCAGTGTTGGCCCCTCATCGTCTTGGCCTATGCTGTTGCATGAAGTCCAAACCGGAAACACCGCCCTTGCACTACAGCGTTTAGCACCGAATCATATCATCGTCATCGGAGCTCACTGTACAACGCATTCCGCGTATTGGCCATGTATCGGTTGCCTGTTGCGGCAACAACTTTCACACCACGACAAGGCGATTCTTCAACCACCCGCACAAAGCCAAGCAGCCCCCTGCATGCTCACAGCACGCGCAGAGGACCGCCGACCGCCGACCGTCTTACTGAGCCTCCAGAACCAGAATAGCACCGCAGATGGGTTGCTGACAGGCGGTACTCCGCCGCTCGCTCTCCTCGCATTTCAGCCCCCCCTAGTCCCGTTTCCTGGGCACCCTTCACCATGCACCCCCCACCCTGGCCGAGGATCCCGAACTGAACGCAGCCTGAACGAGCTTATTCGTAGGCCCGGGTGGCCTCCTCGGGCTGCGTCATACGCGAGACTGCGGCTCCCTCTCTGTGCTTGAGCTGCTGGTGGATCTTCACGGGATCGCCATTTGGCCTTGGCCTGTCCGTTTTGCATCTGTCAATCTCGATGCCCCAAGACGGCGAACCTTTAATTCCTTTCAATCGCCGTGTCATCGCTTCCCTTCGTTTCGTGGAGCTGCTTTTTTCACTTCTTCTGGTTCATCCAAGGCGCGTCTCGACACCCACAGCCACGCGCTGTTAGCTTCTCTTCGAGCTGAGGTTTTGTCATTCAGCTGCTGCTCAGTGTTGTTGTTCACTTTCTTCCTTCTTCCTTCCCACAAGCCTTTCATACCACTGGCACCCAATTGATATCCCTAACCCTTTGCTGGCTATGGCCAAACTCTCGCACTCGTTGTTATGGCTCGCCGCCTCGATTGCCCATCCCGCAGCGGCGCTCGCCGGCGATGTGAGCGCTGCGGACGCGGTCGCGGCCAAGCGCTCAGAGGGCTTGTCTGTTGTGTCGGTCGACATTCGCGCACTCCCCGACTCGCCGAGCGGCCATTATGAGCCCAAGGTCGTCGACTGCCCCTCGACCCGGCCCTCGGTTCGCCTGGCCGACCGCCTCTCAGACCAAGAGGCCGAGTGGCTTCCCCGTCGCCGCAACAACACTATTGACCCCATGCGCGAGCTCCTCACGCGCGCCAACATCCCCGACTTTGACGCAGGCGCCTACATTGATCGCGTGCGTGACAACGCCACGGCGCTGCCCAACATTGCCATTGCCGTGTCTGGCGGCGGCTACCGTGCTCTCATGAACGGAGCCGGCTTCCTCTCGGCGGCCGATTCGCGCAACCCCGGCGCATCCGACAACGGCACCGGCGCCATCGGCGGCCTGCTCCAGTCCGCCACCTACCTTGCCGGCCTCTCTGGCGGAGGCTGGCTCGTCGGCTCCATCTTCGCCAACAACTTCTCCACCGTCCCTGATCTGCAGCAAGGGTCCGACGGCTCCTCCGTCTGGCGCTTCGACCGTTCCATCTTCCGTGGGCCCGAGGAGTCCGGCATCTCCATCCTCAACACGGCCGACTACTGGTCGACCATCGTCGGCGATGTCGCCCGCAAGGGTGCTGGCTGGGACACATCCGTCACCGACTTTTGGGGCCGCGCGCTCTCCTATCAGCTCATCAACGCCACCGACGGCGGCCCGGCCTACACCTTCTCCGCAGCTTCGACCCCACGACCTACGGCTTCGCGCCGCTGCGCTACCTGGCCTCCAACTTCTCCAACGGCGAGATCGCCCGCGACGGCGAGTGCGTCCGCGGCTTCGACCAGCTGGGCTTTGTCATGGGCACCTCGTCCTCGCTCTTCAACGCCTTTATCCTGCAGAACATCACCGGCGTCGCCGAGAGCGCCGACATTCCCGACTTCCTCGTCGAGGCCGTGACCAGCGTCCTCGACCGCCTCGACGCCGACGAGAACGACATTGCCCAGTACGCGCCCAACCCGTTCTTCGGCTGGAACCCGACCAACGAGTCGGCCAACCACGAGTCCGACCAGCTGTCGCTCGTCGACGGCGGCATGGACCTGCAGAACATCCCGCTGCACCCGCTGATCCAGCCCTCCCGCGCCGTCGACGTCATCTTCGCCGTCGACGCCTCCGCCGACACGGCCTTCAACTGGCCCAACGGCACCGCCCTGCGCGCGACCTACGACCGCGCCGGCACCGCCATCGGCAACGGCACCCTCTTCCCGCCCGTGCCCGACGCCGAGACGTTCGTCAACCAGCGCCTCAACCAGCGCCCCACCTTCTTCGGCTGCGACGCCGACAACTTCACCCTCGAGGCCGGCCAGTCCGTGCCGCCGCTCATCGTCTACGTGCCCAACGCCCCCTACACCGCCCACAGCAACGTCTCGACCTTCCAGCCCTCCTACCCGACCGCCCAGCGCGACGCCATTATCCGCAACGGCTTCAACGCCGCCACCCAGGGCAACGCCACCGTCGACACCGAGTGGCCCGTCTGCGTCGCCTGTGCCCTCCTCAGCAGGAGCCTGCACCGCGGCAACGAGGCTGTGCCGGAAGCGTGCACGCGCTGTTTCGAGCGCTACTGCTGGGACGGATCGACTGATTCGGCGAGCGTCAGCTCGTTCGAGCCAGACTTTATTATCGGGTCCGATGAAAAGGAGGACGCTGCTGGCATTGTACGCGCAAGCTTCTGGGGCGTGGGTGTGAGCTTGGCCGTTGCGGCGCTGGTGGTGTGGTGATCGAGGTGAACTGCTATGATTGGTGACAGACAAGATACCTGTCCATGGACGCGGCATGCTTGATGCTGGAGAGGTTGAAGGAGTAAAATGGGACGATTGTGACGACTGCGTCTTGGTTGGATGGGCCGCGATTCAGATTGTAGAAGATCCGTGTTAATAGATAGCTTGCATGTCAGTTTCCTGTTGTCAAAATGAGATGAGCAGAGTAGCATGTTATTCCTCAGTATGAGCAACAAGTTGGTATATCCCCTACAAAAACCAACCGACATTCGCCCGAGGCCTGCGCCATGCCCTTCCTCCCCGATGCGAACGAATACCGTGCTCCTTCGCCGTCCGTCCTTCCGTCGTTTCACCATGTCGTAAGAATACCTCATCGTCTAGAAAATCAAAACGTCGTGGTCATGTCGTCAAAATTCGCATTGCCGCCCAAGCGTGAGTCGTGAAGAGGAGTAGCCGTCCGAAGCACCCCTGTGGATCATCTGTATGAAGACTAATGATCTCTCATCGGATTGGACGATATGGGCCGTCGATTCTCATTTCTTTCACAGCTTCGGGCATCTGCCGCAACCACTCGGTCCAGCTGTCAACGTCGATGGGCTCATCGCCCACGCGAACGGACAGCACAAGTTGTTGACCTTCTGGCGCAAAAGGCAAGCTGTTGCGCTGCGGGCTGATGTTCATAGGCGCAACAAGGATCGATGCGAGTCTCGGATTGCCCGAAATCTGAATGTGGAGAGGCGAAGGTGATGTCGTGACCAAGTCCTTGTCGCCGTTTCTGTCCTGAATGAACGTCGGATAGCTAGACACAAGCTTGGAGTGCAACTCGGCAGCTGTAAGTGGGTTCGGTACACGATGTGATGCTCGTGTCTTGAGTTGCTCCACCAATAGTTTGGTGAAAGAGCACCGCTCAAGCTCATTGAAATGCTCCTCTGAGACGGCCGCAGCGATTAGTTCAAGAACACCCTGTTGGCGCACCATCTTGGAAGATGGATAATATGCAGCATCCATGAGAATCAGCGTGTCACCGCAGGCTTCTTCCAAGACCTGCTGTATTCCACTCCAGCGGAGTGTCTCTGCCTTCTCCCTGTCCCTCGAGCTGTCTGGTATCAGCACAAGGTTGAATTCCAGCTAAATGTGCAGACTAGATCTCACCTGGCGAGAACCATTTCGCGGTTATCATCAAGGTACGAATGTCCGTTGTAGTAGACGATTTTGAGGACATCACGCTGGTCGCGCTCCTCTGAAAAATCAGTTATCTTCCGCGATAGCCACCTCCAAGGGCTCTTGCAGCTCTCTGAAGTGGACGGAATAGCCTGAATTTGAAACGTATATCGGTAGTACTGGTCGAAGACGTCGGCCAGTTCATTGACAGCCGAGCTAACATGGGGGTCGTGGTCGCCAGCCCAATGAAGCAACAATACTTGAGCACCCGCATAGCGACTGCGGTGAGGGTTGGACAAGATACGAGCAACATTTGACTGCAAGTCGGTTTTGACTTCGATGCCCGTCAGACCTCCCGGCTTGTCGAGCCTGGGGCCGGACGGCAAAGGCGTTCGGATGCGCGACTCGCCCAATCGACCAGAGGGAGAGTCAATGTCCATCTCTTGGTCGCCATACATTGACTTGAGACTTTGGTCTTGAGGGCTCAATGGCCTCTGGCCGCCGGTGTGGCTCTTACCCTGCATGCCGGGGAGCGAGTTCTTGAACTTTTCGACTGCGTCTTCCCAGCTCATATTGTGATGACTGGGATGACACTGATCGTCATAAACAAGTATCAGCAACAGCCGGCCGGCGCACGGGCAATGGATTATGTGAGGCCCTGGGAGCCTCAGACTTACAGCAACGCGCCTCCGACGACAGTCGGGACAGGCGCCGAGTTTTCGAATGAGAGCAGCTTTCTCTCTCTGCTGGAAAGACAAAGGGCCGGTTCGCCTCCTGCTCGCGCGAACCCGGTTAGACATGTCGGCTCCATCCTTAATGTGGAAGATGGAGGTAAGGTTAGGAGAGGTGTCGGCACTGTACGATGTGTTGTTTGTCTCTGTTGACATTTCGGTGCCAGCAGATGCCATGGTGGCCGTGGTGGACACGGACGAATTGGTGTCCTTCCTCATCGGCGGTGAGGCCGGATTGGGGTTCAATGTCTGGTGGTTGGGCGAGGTGACTGAAGGGAGCTGCTGCTGCTGCTGTTGCGGTTGCTGTTGCGGTTGTTGTTGCTGCTGCTGCTGCTGTTGAAGCTGTTGCTCTTGTTGGAGCTGCTCTTGCTGGAGCTGGTGTTGCTGCTGCTGCAGTTGAGGATCCATGTCGACCATGGCATGGTCCTCTTCCTGTGGTTGCGGCATCTGCTCACTTGACTGCTGGGGGCTGGGTGAGTGTTGTTGTTGGTACGGCACGGAGGTTGCGCGGGTGGGCTCGTCCGAGGGGCTCGTCTTGGGGGGTGCCTCGAGCAGGCTGGGAGCCGGATGCATGTTGGTCAGAATAAGACGCGAGGGCCCATGATCGAATGAAAGTGAAAATGTGAGTGATAAAGTGCCGCGCGGGCGGTACAAGTATCGATGGGGCGGGCCACGATAGGGTGTGTTGTGCTTTGTTTTTAACCTTTGCGCCCCACCGAGCTTCACCGACCGCGGAGATGGACCTGAGGCGTGGATGTAGACGTGAACGGCGAGGGGAAGCGACCTTGGAAGGCGGAACTAGAAGACGGAGAGGGGCAGGAGGGGGGGGGACGCGACTCGCGTATGACCAAGTGGGCGTATGCGCGTAGGCTCGAGCTCTGTACACTCGACACTGACGAGTACTGCAGGTGGCTGTGAGGGATGCTGGTCGAGATTCGAGGTGCGCGAGTTTTGTCTCCTTCGTAGGCGTGAGACGGGGAATTCCAGGTGAGAGGCGAAGGTGAAAGGTGAGAGGTGACGGCCGGGTTAAGGCTTCAAACCGGAGAGAAATGTACTTGGCATGCGTCTCTCTGCCTGCTTGGGAAGGAGGGGACGTTGCAGCAAACCAACGATTGGGCTTGTAATTGCTATTGTTATTGCTATTGCACACTCGAACCTGACCTGAGTGACTTGCGCACCCGCACCCGCACCCGCACCTGCACTCGCATCGCACCGCACCTTCCCTTGCTTCCCTACCTGCCTACCTGCTGCACCTCACCTCACCCACAAGCACGCAGCGGCGGCCGACCGAGGCCAGACAGGACGAATGGAGGGCAGGCGCCATTGACCGACAGCCGCGAACCCTGGCGATGGGCAGGTGCGTGCTAGGGTGTGCGGGTGGGGGGGAGAGGGGACGTGCTCCAGCCATCTGGCTCGTGCATGCGCACCGAGGGGTACGACACCGAACACAGCACTTGGTCATGGCAGGGGCCCACCGAGGACCGGAGGGTAGCAGCAGAGGACAACTGGTCTTGCCGAATCTCTGTACGCCCTCCTTGAGTTCCACAGCCTTTGGGTGCTGTGCCTACATGTACCATGTACGTGTACTTTCCTCCTGCCTTGCCTGAGACTAGGTGTCCAATATTGCACCCTGATCGTAGGCCTCTTCTCCCTTTCTCACGTCATTGTCGTTGAATCTGCTGCTTGGGCTTGGTATAGAAGAGCCGGGGGGATCGCACGGCGGGCGTTCGAGACTCGGCCGGATCGCCTTGATGGTTGCACACAACAATCGTTTCACGGCGCGCTTGTCCCGGCTCGAAGAATTAAATGCAATTTACTAGCAGGGCAAGTGCAGGGGCGGCGCGGGATGACATCGGCAACAATGGCGGAGACGACCCGTGCTACAAGGCACCCCGCGATGCACCTTGGCCACACACACACACACACACATACATACATGTACAGTACGGCGGCCTGGAATAAGATCTTATCTCGAACACGACATTGACCTGGCCTCGCCGACAGCTCGCCGCCCGTTGATCGGAGAAGATTCCCGGCAAGGACTCAACGGTCCGATGTCTCTTTTCTGATGGATGCGCCATGGTGGATGGAAGCAGACCCCGTCGCAAGCCTCCGTGCAGGGCTTCGCATCTTGACAAGGCGAAGAACCTGGTAACCCGACGTCACTGCCCGGCCACACAGCCAGGCCCCTTAGAAGCGAGTCTTTAGAGCGATTTCGCGATCCGGTCAAGTTGGGCAGCTTCGCTTCTCAGAAGCACCGATTACACATACCCTCGGTCAACTCGGGAAGTCCAGCCAGACACCATCCACTCATGACCTCCAGGCTCCAATCTACTAGCCCAGACCGGTAGCCGGCCGTAGTCTCCCCGCGTTGGCTGAGCATGTCTCACGCCAGCAGCAGACGGCAAGCCTGACAGTGTCGAGAGAAACGCTGCGCCCACTTGTAGGCCGATGGTCGACCATGAGGGGAGGCCAAGCTTGTGATGTCGATGGCCACCAGAATCGAGGCTTTTCTGCACCTCTTTCCGCGATATTAAAACATGCGACAAGTTGGCAACCTACTTCAATAGTAATGCGTTTGCTCATGGCGTGCAATGTCGATTGCGCGGACCGCTCTCGTTGAATAAGTCATTCGCGACGCCATTCCCGAGCAACACAAAGTTTCTAACGGGTCTGACCATCTGTTAGGCATGTGTCCAGTTTGATGCATGACGGGACGACCCAAACGGTTTTACCAGCCACCCACGTCGTTTCTCGAAGACCGAATCCCGTACTTTAGACTACATGACCTGACCAGGTACCCCGTCCTGTCGGGTTGTTGCCCATGTGCACACCAGGGCGTTTCCTGGCAGGCATAAGTTATTAGCACCCTGTCAAAAGCTTCACCACAAGTGGCCGCTCGGTCTCGTAGGTTCAGTGCCTAGTCTCCAAACCTGGGCTGTCTGGCTCTTTCTTCTGCCGACTCATCGCTCGAGCTTCCACGATGCCGAGCTTGGCCCACGACACCCCTGCTTTCAACACCCGCTGACTGGATGCTTGGCCTCCTCATTGGCATGTCGTGCCGAAAGCGTGACCGGATAATCTACTTCAATCCCCCACCCAAGTGAACCAGCGTAATATGCCTCTGTACAAAATCCCTCTCTCGGTCCAGATCCTCCTATGCCACCACCACCATCAGAAACAGCCGTGGTTGTGGCGGGCATATGCACGACAGACCTGCGCCTACCGGTTTCCTCGTTGGGCGGATGGCCGGATCGGATGGAGCGCACACCGGGTGACACAGGCCACACCTCTGATACCAGGTCACGGGTGCCTACTGCTTTGTACTTTGGGCCTCACACCTTGAAATTACAATGTCAGCACATACGACTCTTCATGGTCATCGCACCACCTGGGGCCTGACCGAGCCACGCCATGACTGGCTGTCTTGTCTCACCGAGGTCTGATGTCGTGGCGGCCCCAAGCGCCCCCATCACAACGAGTTTCCATTATCCGGCGCAGCGGGGTCTTGTTCCGTCGCTCGCGTCACCCACCTCAGTCATCCCCTTCAACGGCTTCAGTCGGCGTCCTCGGTCACGCCGGATACGGCAAGGTGTGGCCGCCACAACCCCATCCCCTCATTACCTCTCTTCCGCATCATTTCATTGTGCGCAGGCTGTTGAAATGTGGTTCTGCGGGTTATTTCTTGATTGGTTCTAGGAGCTTGAGGGGTGTGTTGTTTGTGCATCGTGATCACAGATTCGGAGAAATGCAGACCGAGCCTGCAATCTGGCACTGGGCTGCGACACTGACCCGCGTGGTCCTAAATCGCCATTCTTGCCTTGAGAACAAGTGATTATCGTTGGGCTATCCATGCTTCGCAAGTCTGAATGACTCGTCACTTTACTACGCCGTGCCGTCTGTCCTTCAACAACATGAGACCTGCTTCTGACGTGGGAGCTGCGCATTGCCCTCCTCTTGATCAATCCAGCCCGACGCTGGACGTCGCACTTTGTTGGGCAGCTGCAGCCCACGATGCAAAGTGTCATGCCTCTTGAAGGATGATAGCCGAACAGGCGATTGCCACGAAGCCAGTCTTAATGCCTCGACGAGAAGAGTCCTCGGACCAGCGATGCGACACATATGCGGTGAGGACTGTCAAGGTTCGGCAACACAACGGCAATCGGTCACCAGGGCGGCAGCGAACTTGAGTGCACCGGTCTCGAGCGTAGAATATTACTATTCCGCCAAAGGCAGGGCACCATTGCCCGTGCTATGGTCGTATCATGTCTATCGTAAGGAAGTGGTTGAACTGGACATCGTGTCAGCAATTGATGCCTCCGCGCATTGATATACCCACCAAGTTCCATCCTCGTAGCGCTTGCCACGCCCCTCAACGCCCCTTCCCATGCAATGGCACCCAAGTGTTTCGTTTAAACGCTGACAAACGCACGCATAGCCTTGACGGCGTCCCCCTCGTTCGCCTTCAGCAGCTCCGTCGCCCTAGGCTTCGTGACCTCGAGCTCCTCGACCTGTGATTCGGCTGGTCAGCATACCCGGCTGGCAAAGCTCGTCTGAATTGACGCGTGTCCTTACCAGCAACGCCACATCGGCAGCCTCGACCTTGACGTTCTTAACGGGCTCGCCGGCCTTCTTCTGATCGCCGCCGAGACTACCAATAGCTTTCTTGGCAGCCTCTGCGTCTACATCGTTCCCTCGCGCGTCATCACCACCCTCGAGGGAGGCGAGAGCCGAAGCGGCCTTGCGGTCTTCGGCGGACTTGGCCTGGTTGGCGGGGATTTCGTCCTCAACGTCGCCAGTCGTGGCGCCCTCGACAATGGTAGGAGGTTGCTTCTCGGACATTTCGCAGAAACAGTCGTTTGGCGAGCGTCGGGCTTAGTAGTAGGCGACCTTGGAATTCGGGTTGAGGGGTCGAGAAAGTTTCAGCAATGACGTGGGTGTTTTTGGTGGTAGGCGAGCTTTCGATGCGGTCACTGCCCACTGGAAGGAAGCTGTGAGATTTCTGTGGTGGGGTCGTGGTGTCAACTGGAGCAAAGGGAGACCGTGCGCTAAGGAGATACTTGGCGTGCCCGTTGCGCCGCGCCTTACACACAAGTACCCGTGTAACTGCAGCCTCCGAAAGCTCTGGTTGGCCTAGCGCGCATGCACCTGTGTTGCACACAATGAGATTTGGTTTGCCCAGAAGGGGCCTTCATTGAGGACCATATTTGGCCACATACTCTCGTCAGGTACCTACCTATCCCAGGTCACTTCAGACATTGCGAGTGACTCATTGAACCCAAACGTTGGAAGATACTGAGCAGCGTTCCAGTATCACAACGCTCTCTGTCTCTTCCACGTTGTCATCGTCGCATTGGGAATTTTTGTGATACCAGCATCTGAGTCACAACGAGCCACAGCTATCATCATCATGGCAACTCCTTCGCCAGAGTGGACGCCCGGTTCTTGGCGTTCAAAGCCCATCAAGCAGGCGCCGGCGTACCCCGACGCGAAGCTTTTGCAAAAGTCTGTTGACGAGCTGTCGAGGCTGCCTCCCATTGTCCACCCCAAGGAAATTGTCGCCCTCAAGCAGCATCTTCGTGATGTGGCCAAGGGCGAGGCATTCCTGCTCCAGGGCGGAGACTGCGCTGAACTCTTCTCGTACTGCGAGCAAAATGCTATCGAGTCTAAGATTAAGCTCTTGCTGCAGATGAGTCTGGTCCTCGTTTGGGGTGCTGACAAGAAGGTCGTTCGAATCGGCCGCATGGCAGGCCAGTATGCGAAGCCCAGGTCAAGCCCGACCGAGGTTGTGGACGGAGTCGAGATGCCCTCTTTCAGGGGAGACATATTAAACGGATTCCACGTTGATGAGAGAGAGATTGATCCTCAAAGGCTCGTCAAGTAAGTTTTCCTCCCCACATCCAAGATGAGGGCAATCAACTCGACTAACCAACCTCCCTCAGGGCCTACCATCACTCCTCAGCTACGCTCAACTACATTCGAGCATCGCTTAATGCTGGAATTGCTGATCTTCACAGGCCCCTCGACTGGGGCCTGGGCCATGTCCGCGACCCGGAGCTGAAGAGGAAGTATTCCGAGGCAGTCCTGTCCTTGACGGACATGCTTCGGTTCCTGCACACGATTGGCGCCGACAAGAGCGACAAGCTCGACACGGTCGACCTCTTTACCAGTCACGAAGGTCTTTTGCTCGAGTACGAACAGCCTTTGACGAGGCTTCTTGAGACTCCCGTCCTTCGGTCGAGGCCGAACGAGCCCGCGTCCGCCCCCAAGAAGGAATACTACAACACATCAGCTCACTTTCTGTGGATCGGCGACCGCACGAGACAGATCGACCACGCGCACGTCGAGTTCTTCCGAGGCATCGCGAATCCCATCGGCATCAAGGTCGGTCCCACGACGCCGGTGGACGACCTCCTCGCCCTCCTGCGCACGCTCAACCCGAGCTGCGAGCCCGGCAAGATCACGCTCATCACGCGCTACGGCGCCGCCAAGGTGCGCTCCCTGCTGCCGGCGCACATCCGCGCCGTCGAGGACAGCGAGTACAGGCAGTGCGTCGTCTGGCAGTGTGACCCCATGCACGGCAACACGCAGTCGACGGGCAGCGGCATCAAGACGCGCAAGTTTGGCGACATTTTCGAGGAGCTGCAGCAGACGCTGCAGATCCACAAGGAGCAGGGCAGCTTCCTCGGCGGCGTGCATCTCGAGCTCACGGGCGACGCCGTCACCGAGTGCCTCGGCGGCAGCGAGAACCTCGACGAGGACGATCTGTCGACCAACTACACGAGCTTCTGCGACCCGCGACTGAACGAGAAGCAGGCGCTGGAGCTGGCCTTCTTGATTGCGGATCACTACCGCAAGGAGAGGAGGCCCTCCACTACATTGTGAGGAGGAGAGGCCATGTTCATAGCGCGGCCACAATGCACTGTGGAGGACTTGAATCGAAAAGTTGATGCTTCGCTGCGTTCGCTGCACCCATTGCCGCTGCCTGTGCCTCGCTGGTTGGCGGCCCAGCTGCATCCAGATGCAGTGTTGTGATCGCTCCAATGGGCATCCGGGGGCGAGCTGCAAGGTGCGGCTGTTTCCGTGAATCCAAAAAGAAAGGAAAATTGCCAAGCACTGATGACCACGCATGGTTGAACTCAAGTGAGAACATCAGCGGTGTGTTCCCAAACTATATCCAGTAAGAAGGGCTCTTTTGAGTATGGATCGGCGGGCCGGCTCGCGAGTGCAAGTGTTGTTCTACATCATCCGTTGAAGAGATAGATGGCTTCTCATTCACCAGGAAGGTGAGAAATGGGAAGCAGGAGGTGTCCCTTGGAAGCAAGAGGTGTCCCTTGGAAGCAAGAGGTGTCTCTCGCCAGCCAAGATGACGTTGCTATTGTCTCGCATCACGATGGTCACGAAAGCCTCACCGATCTGACCGAAGCTGCCGAGGCTGCCATGTCTTATCGGAGGCACGCAGAGTGGACCTCCGGGGGTGGATCCACGGGTATCAGCGGGCCAGGGCGTGCTACGATAGGGGAAGGCGCGCGCCCTGTACACTGTGCACCTCCTACCTGGAGGGGCGCGCGCGGGGCCCCGCGAAACCAGCTCCGAACTACCGTGTATCAAGGGACAAGCTGCCCAGCTCCAGGTCTCGTACGACCTGTTTATCCTTCTTCCTTCATCTACCTCGCCAAGCCCAGTGTCGGTGCCACGAGTTTTTCAACCTCATTCTTCTGTTTCTAGCACTGCGACCCATACGTAACTTCCCACCTTGACCCTTCGCTATGGTCTTTCCATTTGACCTCCAACACCGTCGAGACTGGTAGGTTTTGAACATGATCACTACCCTCATCGACCCCTACTACACGCATCACCACGACTGACACTCTCACAGTCAATCTAAGCAGGCTCAGCGGTCCCACAGAATTCGTTCCTTGACGGCCTACCACGGACCCTTTTCTGTACTGGAACGGGAGATTCTGCAGAAGCCGATCCAAGAGCTTGTCCAGGATGTCCAGAACAGTGCTACCCAGCCCATCGACGTGCTCAAGACGTACGGAAAGGTTGCCTTGAAAGCCCATGAGAGCACCAACTGCTTGACCGAGGTCATGCTGGAGTCAGCCGAGGGCTGGCTCAAGGAAGGGTCTATCAACCTGAAGGGTCCCCTCGCTGGTATCCCCGTCTCCCTCAAGGACAGCCTGCACGTCGCTGGGTACGACTCGTGCATCGGCTATTCCATGCACACAAACAAGCCGTCTGTCGAGGATGGCCCCGTCGTGCGTCTGCTGAAGGACGCCGGTGCCGTGCCCTACGTCAAGACCAACCTTCCCATCACGCTCCTCTCCTTCGAATCCACCAATGACGTCTGGGGACGCACCACCAACCCGCACAACAGCAAGTACAGCCCCGGTGGTTCAACAGGCGGTGAGTCTGCTCTCCTTGCTTTTGGCGGCAGGATCGGTATCGGCTCCGATGTTGCGGGAAGCGTCCGTGTCCCTGCCCACTTCTCCGGCTGCTACTCCCTGCGATGTTCCACCGGCCGCTGGCCCAAGATGGGCATCACGACCAGCATGCCCGGCCAGGAGGGCATCCCCAGCGTCTTCAGCCCCATGGCCCGCACGCTGAACGACCTGACCTACTTTACCCGCTCCATCGTTGAGATGAAGCCGTGGAACTACGACTACACCGTCCACCCGATTCCCTGGCGGCACGACGTCGAGAAGGAGTTTCTCGAGAAGAAGAAGCTCCGCGTCGGCATCATGCGCACAGACGGCGTCGTCGACCCCAGCCCGGCATGCCTCCGCGCCGTCGAGATGGTCGAGGACGCCCTCCGCCGCGAGGGCCACGAGATTGTCGAAGTCGACCTGCCCCACCTCCGCGAGATCCTGCGCGTCGCGTCCCTGGCCCTCAACTCGGACGGCTGCCTCACCTACAGCTCCTTCCTCCGCCCGGGCGAGTGGGTCGACGCCGGCGCCGCCCAGCTCAGCTACCTCGCCAGCATGTGGCGCCCGACGCGGTACCTCTACTACCTGTGGGTCAAGTACGTGCGGCGTGACGCCCTGTGGGCGGACCTCGTGCGCGACTTCCGCCCGCAGAGCGCGTTCGAGGCGTGGAAGCTCGTGTCGCAGCGGGAGAAGATCCGGCTGGCCTGGTTCGACTGGTGGGAGGCGGCCGAGGTAGACTTTTTGGTGACACCGCCAAACGCGACGCCGGCGGTGCCGCATGACGGTATGGGAGAGGCCGTCAGCAGCTGCGGATACACGTTCATGTTCAACCTTGTGAGTTTTCTTTGCTGAAGGGGCCCGCTGTGACTGTGTGGCTGACTTTGTGGACAGCTCGATTACTCTGCCGGTGTGTTGCCCGTGACTCACGTTGACAAGAATCTGGATCAGCTACCCAAGGATTTCAAACTCAGCAGGCTCAACGGTGTGGCAAGGGGAGCGTACAAGCTGTACGATGCGACTGCCATGCATGGCCTGCCTGTGGGTGTGCAGGTCGTGGGACGTCGCCTGGAGGAGGAGAAGGTGCTCTCCCTCATGCAGAGGGTAGAGGATGCCCTGGGCGACGACAAGTACGAGCTGCTTGAAATTGACTGAGTGTAGAGAACATAGTGTAGATTCTGCAGGTCAAGGCAGCGAGACTGGGGCTCGCTCTGTCGGGACGATGGAAACCCACCGTGTCCGATGTACTCCATGAAATGAGCCAAGCAAAGCCTATACCCCAAAACAAGCGACGTAAGCCCGTTCTTGCTGGCAAATCATTCCACAGAGTTTATGATGTATTGCACGAGTTGCATGAGTGATGGCTGAAGCCTTGTCGTGCATGGTAATGTCCAGGGTCCGAGATCGGCCCTCGTCGCTTGACCCCATCTTTGTCAGTCAACCACTTACACCCGGATCATGACCACAAGTACCTACCTATATAAGACAGCACCAGCCAGGCATATTTCCAGTCAGTCCAGAATAATCAAGATCAAGACTATTACTTTCATTCATTCCATCGCTTGCCATATCCACATCTCGCCATGGCTGACGAAAAAAAGGACAACTGGTCCACAGAGGTGCGCGCTCCTCTTGCATCGTACCGGCATCTCGATCAACCACGAGGCTAACACGCAGCCAGGAGTACCAGCACTCAGCCGCCTTCGTGCCCAAGCTCGCGACCAAGGTAGTGCAATGGCTCGACGTTCAAAAGGACGACGTCATTCTCGACATTGGCTGCGGTGACGGCGTGCTCAACATTGAGTTCGCCAAGGTCCTCTCGCAGGGACAAGGCGCCGTGCACGGCATCGACGCCTCGCCGTCCATGATCTCGGCCGCTGCCAGGGCTGCCGAGGCGGCGCCGGGCGGAGACAGGTGCACGTTCGAGGGTGCGTTACATGTTCCATCTCGTGACCGCCCCTGCATCAGCGTACTGACAAGGTGGTGTGTTCTTTTTTCTTTCCAGTCGTCGACGCCAACGAGATGGACCTTGACAGGAGCCGCTTCCCATTCAGGTACACCAAGGCCTTCTCCAACGCGGCGATGCACTGGATCCTCAAGCCGGACACGGCGAGCACGTTCTTTGCGCGCGTGAGAGAGGTGCTCCCCTCGGGCGCGACGTTTGCTTTTGAGATGGGCGGCCTGGGCAACGTGTCCGAGATGAGGACGGCGCTTGTGCTCGCCGCCGGACGGGTCATTGGCCTTGACAAGGCCAAGGCGGCGGACCCGTGGTTCTTCCCTGATGAGAAGTGGCTGGCGAGGACGATGGAGGAGGAAGCGGGGGGGTGGAAGATTGATAAGGTGGAGAGAGAATGGCGACCGACGGCGGCAGGCGAGGGCGGCGTCGAGGGCTGGGTGCGGTTGATGGGCAAGGCCTTTTTGGATGCCGTCGAGAAGGAGAAGGGAGCTGATGCTGTTGAAGGGGTTGTGAGGGAGGCGAGTGACGTGTTGAAATATGTCAGCCAGGATGGCAGCGGTGGAGAGATGATTTCCTATGTGCGGTTGAGATGCTTGGCCAGGAAGGTGTGAAGCGCTCCTTGAAGGTTCGGAAGACGTTGCTTCATAGCATCTCACGATCCTGGTTGTTCACAGTCATCGTAGACTTCAGTGATGGTGCTTCTTGGAGTGTGTGGTTTTGCATAATGGGTTGGATCAACTTGGAGCACGACATGTCGAACGACACATGGATTACACCAGCGAACAAAACTGAAGAATGATCTTGCTGTCTGGAAAGGTGGACTGTGAAATTGCAAAGAATATTATGCTTGAGATTCATGATGGCATTCTGAGTGACCGACAATAGCCAACTGTTGCCGGCTGCAGCGACCCCACCGGCGGCCTGGCAATCCTTTCTCGACGCCCGATCCTGAGCGCGTGCTCCAGCGACTTGAAGCTCTTCTCCAACGTCATCTGCAGGCCCTCATTCTTCCGCCACAGGCACAGGCATAGCCACCGGTACGACACCAAAACCACCACGACAGATAACGGCAACGCCTCGAACCGCAGCTCTGCAACGACCTACAAAATGTCGGCCGATGACCAGCAGTTTCTGGACGTTGTCAGTGCTTCCCCTTCTTGCAGCCTGTAACCCCCTTTCCATGCTAACCATCCAAAGCTCTCGTCCCTGCCCAACCACATCCGCCGGTACTCCGACGATATTGCCAACCAGATCAATAGCCAGGTCGACAAGGCTGCCGAAGTCGTCCGCGACACTCTATCCTCAGCACAATGGATCCCCGACTCTGTGCGCCCGACGCCAGTGTCTCGTTCCGTACCCATCGAGATCATCGCTGTGACGCGCTATGAACAAGTTCGGGACTGGATATCTCGGAACAAGCTCGTCACGGGAGCTGCCGTCGCCGTCTTTGGCGTTGTCGTGTACAAGACGTACAGGAGTAGCAGTCTCTACCGCAAGACGAGGAGAGCCAAGCGTGCGAGAAACGGTGGTCGCCTGGAGGTTGTCGTCATCGCTGGTTCGCCGACCTTGCCTCTGACGCGATCGCTGTCGCTGGACATGGAGAGGAGAGGGTTCATCGTCTTTGTCGTGTGTAATGCCGTCGAAGACGAGTCCATGGTACACAACATGTCGAGGCCGGATATCAAGCCGTTGACGATTGATGCTACCGACGTAAGTCTCGTCCTGCCTCTTCTCTTGGTCATGGACCACCAAACTGACGTGTTCAAACAGCCCCCAAGCGCCGGCAACGCCATCGAACGGTTTGCTCAGTACCTCCAGTCACCGCATGCTCCAGCACCCAGGACGAAACCGAATTTCCTCGAGCTCAAATCCGTCATCCTGATTCCGTCCCTCAACTACCAGACCTCTCCCATCGCCACCATCCCACCCTCCAGCTTTGCCGACCTCTTCAACACCCACCTCCTGCACCCCATCCTCACAATCCAGGCCTTCCTTCCCCTTCTCACGGCTCGTCTCAGCCCAGCCGGCGAGAAGTGGCACCCGCCCAAGGTCATGGTCTTCACCCCCTCGATCATCTCTTCCATCAACCCGCCCTTCCACGCGCCGGAGGCGACCGTCTGCTCCGCCCTCTCAGCCTTCACCGAAGTTCTCACTGCAGAGCTCAGGCCTCTCGGTGTCCCCGTCACCCACATGCAGCTAGGCACCTTTGACTTTGCGGGCTTCACACCCGCCAAGCCATCACACACGTCAGCTTACCAGAAGGGGCTGATCGAGGGCCCCGGCATTGACGCCGACGCCGCCGAGACGCTCATGTGGCCCGAGAATGCGCGCCACGCCTACGGCCGCAACTTTGTCACGCAGAGCACCTCGGCCATTTCGGCCGGACGCATCCGAGGCCTCAAGGGCAGCTCGCTGCGACACCTTCACAATGCCGTCTTTGACGTCGTTGATGGCTCCATCACCAGCGGCACTGTCCGCGTAGGCCTCGGCGCCGGTGTCTACGGGTTTGTCGGGCGGTGGGTGCCCCGCGGTATCGTGGCGTTTATGATGGGCATTCGGCGGGTGGACGAGCTTTCGGCGTGGCAGACGAGCTCATATGATGGGTCTCGCGAGGGCAGCGAAAATGGCGACAACCAGGACTTTATCGCTGTCCCTGGAGATGGAGAGAGCAATGTTTGGCGACGTTCATGAGCATCGTCGTTTCCATGTTTGCTTGCGTTCTACAGACGCACTTGTTTAGGCGTTCATAACGGAGTGTCACCCCACACAACCTGGCACGGGAAAGAAATTCACGACTCTTGGGGATCTGGACGTACAGATCTATAATGAAATAGAATGGATTCTTAACCTTGGTATCATTCGTGCGCCTTGTACAGGCCCTTCTCTGTGCCTTGTTCCCACGTCTAACATCAGCGCTGCCGTGACCATGTCTCCCGTCAGGAGGAAGAGCCAGTGGCTCTGACGTGCCCTGCCAGCTAGTGACACGATCTCCTCAGTGTCCACGACCGCGGAACCGCCTGCCGCCGCCTCCACCTCCCCCGCGGTCGCGCCACTTGCCGCCGCCCGCACCACCGCCGCCCCTGCCCCCGTGGCCATGCCTCCTGTCCCCCCTGTCGCCGAAGCCGCCCCTGTCGTCTCGCATATCTCTCTGCGGCTCATGGAGGCCGGCGGCCTGCCTCTCGAGCTCCTCCTGGCGCTTGAGCTCCTCCTCCTCGCGCTGGACCTCGACCTTGAGCTTCGGCCGCTCGAGGTCCTTCCTCCACCGCGGGTGGGCGCCGTCGCGGCAGTCGCGCCCCGCGGGGCAGAAGCCGGCGAGGTAGAACAGGCACAGGGCGCGGCGGACGTGCTTCTTGGCGCAGGCGGGGCCGAGGGGGCAGAAGCCCATGTCGTAGTGGGGGCAGGGCGGCAGCTTGGACTGCGGGTCGATGTGCAGGTAGAGGCACTCCTCGCCGTTGGAGCAGTAGCCGTTGCGCGTGAAAAAGTTGCACTCGGGCATCTTGCGGAGGTTGTACTCGTGGAGGAACTCGCAGTGGGCGCCCTTTTTGCAGAGCCCGCGCAGCCAGTGCTTGCACACGAGCGACGGCCCGCGGCCCGCGTGCGTGTGCGCCGGCTGCCCGCCGGGCGCCGAGTCGGCGGCGAGGGCGTGCTGGTGCGTCGCGCGGAGGAAGGGCGTGAAGTCGAAGGTCGCCGCCGGCTCGGTGTGCGAGGCCAGGTCGGGGGCGGCGCGGGACGGCGCCAGCGAGGGGTGTGCTGTCATCGCTGCCATGGTGTGGGCTTCTGGCCCTGGCTGGCCTGCGGTGCTGGGGGCCCTCGTGGTCTGGCTGCGAGAGGCGGGTGCGTTGGGGAGAGGTCGGTGTTCAGTGTTCAGTGTTTGAAGTAGTATCAAGCGTGGCGTGCGCTGCCGAGTCCGTCCAGGAGCGGTGAAAAAATATCGCTGCCAAGTGATTTCGTGATTGAGTGTCGATGAATGCGCTGCTCTGGTGGCTGGAGACTGGCAAAGTGGCGTGTATGGTGACAATTGGCGTTGGGTATGATGGCCTTGTCCACGTCGTGAGCTTTCCGAGCTCGAGTTGAACCAAAAGCTCCGAACGGCTGGCTAGAGCAGATCGGGTTAGTCAGCCAGCGGGGTGGAACCTCGGGGAAGCGGCCACTGGTAGTAGGTACCTTAGGTACATGTACTCTATTACGATCATTTTCACGTTACCCATGTCCATCTTATGGAGGTAATAAGGCAAGCGAACCCCCTTGTGAGCTGAGGCTCGCTGCGCAGACCATTCAGTTGGGACGGTATATGCTAGTACAGCACAGCAACGCATCGCTTGAGGTTGCAGCGATCGGAACATCTTGAGTTTTGGGTTGCCCATGTGATGTCTTCGCGCTCTGTGGCCATCTCGTCGTCTCTAGTCGCCCACAGATCATCGTCCGAAGGTTGCCCAAACCCCTAGGATTCCTAAAGTATCTCCATCGGTTCTGTACACCCTGTCTGGAATCCCTTGGCTGTACTTCCTTGGCTTCATCCATCGAACACATGTCTCCCGCTGGGCCGAGGAATCACTCATGCTCAGGTCATGGCGCAAGATATGCCACCGGCCAACATCCACTCAGTCCTGCAAGTCGATCTTGTCCTATGACGAGATGGTGACCGTAAGCTTGATGATAAAGTGTCGACCTACATATGAACTGATAGCCTATTGTTCACTACTGGTATGTACGGTCGATGCGTGTGGGGGTCTTTTTTTCGATTCAGGCTTGCTTGCATAAGTGGCAGCTTGCAGGAAGAAAGCGGATCTTTGGCAGAATTGTGACCCGAAACTAATAAGCCAGCCATCCATCTATCGTGTCACCTCCCGCTTCGACACACGTGAGAGAGTGCGATGCCCTGCGATGCACATCTCACATCTCACATCTCGTTGTTCACACCCAAGGTATCTACGGTAGCTCGGAATCGTGCATCGAGGAGCGGGGCCACTGCGGTGGCACACAACTTAGAATGGCGCCATGTTGATAGAAATGTCAAGATGCGGGCTTGCAACGGCCGACAGCCACAGTGGGCTTCAGGCCTTGGATAGCGCACGACGAACCCGTTATCCGTCTGGCCTGTTCGGGATCAGGAACTTGGCTGGTCTTGCAGCAGGCGGCTGGAGGACGACAGGCAGCAGGCGGGCTGGCGGGCAGGCACATGCTGGGGTGATCCTGCTGCCAAGGCCTGCAGGATGACACGCGCATTCGCATTCTGGTGCTTCCATCACTTTGCCTTGCAGTCGATTTTGTCCGTGCTTCTTGCCTTCGCTTCACCTCTGCAAACCACACCCATCATCACCTTTTCAACATGCCTAGGTAGCTCATGGTCCCCTAAATAAACATGTCGACAGGGAGCAGAAAGCATCCGAGTCGTTGACGGCATCCAACTCGTGGTACATGACAGCACTGCTTTCACCCAGATGGTAAGGCCATCCATATCATTGGATCTCAGAAGCCCCCTTCAGCAGCCTCGCTGCTCCACCAACCGACGACTCATGACCATTCGCACGCGACACGCCGGCCTCCCCGGCGAGACGCTCCCGTCATGGGCACATGCCAGGCTCAGGTCCTTGGGTCTTTTTGCCAGGACGGAACCACTCCCCTGATTCGGGTTGCGACTGCGCTAAAAGGACCTTGGAGCTCTCCGGCCACTGGGGATCTCGGGGCAACCGACAAACCGCGTTACATGTACATGGGTGCCGCATACCATCAGGGTCCTGCCCTCCTCCAAGCACCCACCCGTCTGTGCCTCTGCCGGAGCCAGCAGGCCATCGACGAGAGTACCTCCCCGTGTGAGTATAGCGTCTCCGCTGCCTGGCTGGATACCTCCCTTCTCGGGCTCTCAAATGTGGCCTTCGTACTGTTTGAGGAGGAAGAGAACCGTGTCTTCAAACAGTGCCGCCCGGCCCCTCTCTCTGCTCATCTCCCGCAACTCTCCCGTCTTTAATTCTATCCCGTGGCAATGCTTCACGAGGAGACCGGCAGGGAACCACCATCCAAACTTGGGACATTGCTGTTTCCACTCACCCGCTCACCCGCTGAAACGCGACACACCCAATGACCTCATTTGGCCAACCCATCGGTTCTTGGGCCCGCATCTGGGTACAGAGAATGGCCTGCCAGCGTGCCATGCAGCTTTGGGCAGAAGCATCCGTCGCGTCGACCGTCCGTCATTTGATGCAATCTCGCTGCGGTACCGAGAGAAGCCAAGCTGCTACTTGTCTGATGGCGGCCCATCTCCACACTGGGGGATTTGGGGCAACCTAAAGGGGATGAACGCCAGACACGGCTTGGCGTCACTGGATCGTTTGGTTCATCCCAGTAGAATAGTGTCGGCCATTCACCAGGTCTCTCCCCGATGCCACCGAGATCAAAAACACACCATTTTGTGTTGCTCGACGCCAGACTCGCAGCGTACGCACCGAGGTCAACTCAAATTAGTAGGAGGCTTCGCACCGCTCGCACCGACCTACCCTCGGCAACGATCGCAGCCCTTGAACACAACATCGTGTGTCCCCGGAGGCCCTGGACGCATTCGGCTGCGACTCAAAGCTTCGACCATTGTAACACCAGCCCCAAGTTTTGCAGGGAAGGACGCTGTTTTAGGGTTGCCTTTTTTTCAATGCCCCTCCCGAGTTTGAGACCTGCTCCCCGCTGCCGTCCCGTCTGGTTGGGCGGCGTTTGCGGGAAGGCCTTGTATTCCTCAGATGACTTTTCTTTTCCAAGCCTTCCACGACGTGGGGCATTTCTTCTAGAACATCAGACTCTCCTCTCCTTTGAGGCAACATCCCGGGAGCCGCAGCTCATTGATGACCCAAGGCTGCTTGGAATCCCCTTTTCCCTGTCTGGATCAGGGACTCTCCTCTCCTGTGCATGTGCCTCACGAGCGTGCCGCAGAGGCCATCGTACTTGACTAACGCGCACCGATCCTAGTTTCACCATGACAACCACGGTGATGCGGACACATCTCATGCCTTCAACCTGCCGAACCGTCACTCGTGCTCGAATATTCCTCGGCATCCCGGTCCGACACAGGCCGTCCCGACACGGGACACTTCTGCGAATTGGGGCACGGTTCTGTTCACCCTCCTCCCTGCCGCCTTCCGGCGACAAATCTCTCTTATTCTTGCCCTTCAATGGCCGAATCAACCTGCCGCTGCCGCTCTGGACTCTATGCAGAACCTACGCTCTTCGACACTGACTCGCCATGTTGCATTTCCATCCATGGTCCGACATCTGCCAACGTGACGGCCGCCATGGTGCTCTTTAGCCATTCGAGGACATGCTTGTGCATACACCTACCTATGACAAGACGCGTCGAAGCTACTGTGGCTACGTACTTGTGAGCACAACAAGCAGCAGCGTACAGGGGTCTCATTGACATGCGACTTTGATCGCCATGCCTCGCCAAGGATAGGCGGTCTAAGTCGGAAGATGTACAGGCTCGGCGGAGGATGCCACGCACGGAGCTGCGAGGATGGGCCAGCTAATCAAACCAGTAGGCGATTGACTTGACATGATATCCCACGCTTCCTACCTACACTCACCTGCCCGTCTCCAACTGTCTCTGCTGCCTGTACTGTACGGCATCTTTTTAGCAAGTTTCATTCACCCGTCCCCTGCAAGCGTCTTCTCTCCCCCCCCCCTTTCCCCTCAACCATCGCACGCACACACCCCAGCCCAAATTATATCATGCATCGTGGCATCGCGGTACCGGGGCCCTCACCTGTAAATTTGATGCGTGTTGTCTCCACCATCGAGACATGGCCACAAGTTGCCCATATTCACTCACCGTCGCAGCTCGCCCTGTATATATAGGTCCTGGGCTGCTAGAGCCTGCCCATGAGGTGCGCTTGCTGCCCGACTGGGTACTGTGACCTGTACAACAACATGCTCTTCACCCAACCGCCTTCTCTTTCCACCTGTCCCTCGTGTCAGCGTTCCTCACTTTCAAGTCCATATTCGCTGTCGCGCGCCTCGATACTGTCTTGCTCCCCTTCTCTGTTTCACATGATCGATTCAACTCCAGAATGAGCTCGTCTTCATCCTCGCGTAAACAGCGCAGAGGCAAGAGCATTTCAAAGCTCGCTTACACGAACGCCGTCTATTTCCCCAACGAGAGAATATACCAAGGCGACACACCAGGAGCGCTCAACTATGGATACACCAACCATGTGTACTACGCTTTCGCAAATGTTTCTCCGGATGGTGGTGTTTTCGTGAGTCGGCTGGCTCACCACAGTTGGGAACAACTCTTTTACTGATTTCAACCCTCCCAGTTGAGCGATGAGTGGGCGGATGCGGGGGCGCCGGTCGATGGCGTCCAAGGGGGCCTCGGGTCTCTCATGCATCTCAAACAACAGTACCCGCATCTACAGGTTGTCCTGTCCATTGGCGGCGGCAGTTCCTCGGCCATCTTTCCTGTCGTGGCCGCGAGCACTATCTGCAGAGATAATTTTGCGCGCTCAGCAAAAGGATTAGTTGATGCGTCTGGCCTCGACGGCATTGACAGTACGTCAGCAGACCATATCGACCAGCTAGGCCCTGATGCTGACATTTGCTCAGTTGTGTGGGAGTATCCCTCAGACTCCCAGCAGGGCCACGACTTTCTGGCTCTGCTGGCGACAATACGTCTCCATCTACCAGAGGACCAATACTTACTCACCGCTGCCCTGCCGGCGAGCAGAATGGTGCTTCAGTACATTCCGCTCCAGGCTTCGGCCGAGTATCTCGATTTCGTCAATCTCATGGCATACGACTTCTTCGGCACGTGGACGCCAAAGAGCGGACATCACTCCCAGTTGTACGCCCCTCAGAAGGACCAAGAATCTGGCGCTACGGGCGTGCAGTACTTGATCGCCAAGGGCGTGAATCCCGGGAAGATTCTCCTCGGCATCCCGCTCTACGGGCGTAGTTTCCTGGGCGCAGCTGGGCCGGGCCACAAGTTCAGAGGGGGCGGTGGTGACAATGGCACATTCGAGTACAAGCAACTGCCGCGAAGCGGGACCAAGGAAACGATTGATAAGAAGTCCATCTCGGCGCAGTGCATCGGCGCGGATGGAGGATTCGTGAGCTATGACAATCCCGAGACCGTCAAGGTCAAGGCTCAGTTCTGCAAGCAAAAGGGGCTAGGGGTGAGCAGACGGACATGTCCAGACGTGGTGCTGACTGTGGTGCTTCAAGCTAACGTATGCCTGTAGGGCCTCTTCTATTGGAACGGACCGGCAGACGGCAAAGGGTCGCGCAGCCTTGTCGCGGCTGGCTTCCAAGCACTGCACTCTTCATGAGGCCTCTGAGCGGCCCAACCTCGGGTTGATCCCATAGATCCGCCCCGGCGGCCCTGGCTGGGGGGAAAGCAGGACATTTGGGCTCTGTCGTGTAAACAAGCATCGAGACTCGGACGCAATGACCGGCACTGCGTTGAACTGGTGGGATGAGTTTTCAAAAAGGAGGCTGGCCATGGGAATCTATAGACGGACGGTTGCAAGGCGTTTTTTTTTCGGGCGGGGATACCAGGCGGCGGCTCATTAACAAGCGAATCACAGCCACTTGGCTGCTGCACATTGTTGCTTTGCTTTTGCGACAAACATTGGTTATGAGGGAGAAGCGCATCGGGGCCACGGAAAGGGTACAGATTTATCTACCCTGTTTGGCAACAACAATCCAGCGAAGTTATAGAAGGAGAAAAAGAGCCAAATCGAACGGGCCTGGATTCAGGGGCCATGTCAGAATGATGGTATAAACCTGCGGTTGCCGGTGGACAAGAAGACTGTGAAAGTGCAGGGCCGCATGTCCTCCGTGGCAATGATATGCAATTGCAGGAGGCCGTGATACTTGGCATGGTATAGCCCAGCTGCTGGAGATGCCACCCACAGTGGAGCTCGAGCTGTACATGTACATGTAGGACACGGCGGATAAATCCGCAATAGGCATCTCTGATTGAGTCTTCGGAAGGTGGCTCCCGACAAACCTGGCCAAAACGACGGCAAGGCAGATAGACGGGGGCCAGGTCTCGCATGGCTCGACGGTCAAGTCTTTTTTTTTTTTTTTTTTTTTTTTTTTTGCCCTGCTCGGGCTACTCGGCCGTTCTCGAGGCGGCGCCCTGCATCGTGTGGCGAACAGGGTGTTCCATGGTCAGTCAGTCAGTCAGTCAGTCAGTCAGTCAGTCAGTCAGTCAGTCAGTCAGTCAGTCAGTCAGTCAGTCAGTCAGTCAGTCAGTCAGCCAGTCAGCCAGCCAGCCAGTCAGCCAGCCAGCCTGCAGACCTGCAAGGCAAGGCGCACGAAATGCAGGCCTGCATGAGGTAGGTAGGTACCTCAACCTAAGGTACCTAGGCACAGTATTGGCATGGTCTTCTCCATTATGGTCCTCGTTGGAGGCTTGCTCTCCGGCGCACTAGATGCCGACGGTGGCAGTTTGTTTTCGCTGGGGTCGTACGGCAGGTGATGGGGGCTTTGTCGTGTTCCTGCATCTGAGATGAGACATATGATGCGTGGATGGAGCTTTTAACACGGTCTTGATCGCGTGGTAGCGGGCTCTTGCTGTGGGTGGAGGGCGCCTTGTGTACTTGTATACCTACACACGTTGGCACCTAGGTAGGTACCTTAGGTACCGTCAATGTAATCACAGGCAGGCCACCGATTGGGCTCCGTGCCAAGGTCCCACACGGCTGGTCGCCATTCCAGGCGGCAGTGACAGAGTGCCTTGTAGCTGGCTGGACTTGTAGCTGGCTGGACTTGTAGCTGGCTGGACCCGGAGCTCTAACAGGCAGCACGTGCTGATAGCCGATAACAAGAGGCTACGTACTGATAGACCAAGCCAGCGTCTAATCGTCGGTAGAGCTTCAGTGCATTGGCAGCCCTGAGAAGCAGCAAACGAGACAGCAACAGGGCCCTCTCGCCATATCCACGCGTAGCAGCAGCAGCAGCACTCGACTTCGGAGTTCCAGACATTGCGAACATGAATGGCGTAGCGCTCGATGATCCCACGTCGCTGGATGCTGGTCAGTGCCATCATGCCCTTGCGGGCTGCCTCCTGGGACCTCCCCCCCCCTCCCTGGCTGACAAGCTCGCAGTTGACTACGACCCAATCGATCACTTGAATCTCCTCTTCTCCCACCCTTCGACCGTCACATCGATCAGCCGCGTTTCCCAGACCCTTCACGAACACAAGAATGACGTGTCCACCGAGATTGCCGAGCTCGAGCTCGCCCAGGCCTACGGGCCCGATTCGAGCCTCGAGCGTATGCAGTCGGCCCAGGCCGAGCTCGCCCAGCTGTTCCGCAAGATCGAGACGGTGCGGTCGCGCGCCATCGAGACGGAGCAGAACATTACATCCATGACGGCCGACATTAAGCGCCTCGACGGCACGAAGCGCAACCTCACCCTCAGCATGACGGCCCTCAAGCGGCTGCAGATGCTGACGACGGCCTACGAGCAGCTGCAGGGCCACGCGCGGACGCGGCAGTACCGCGAGTGCGCGAGCCTCCTGCAGGCCGTGCTGCAGCTCATGAAGCACTTCAACAGCTACCGCAGCATCGAGCAGATTGCGACGCTGAGCCGCGGCGTGTCGGAGCTGCAGCGGACGCTGCTGGAGCAGGTGTGCGAGGACTTTGAGCTGGCCTTCGCCAAGGACGAGGTGTCGGCGCGGCGCGGCACGCTCGTCGAGGCCTGCCACGTCATGGACGCCCTCGGCGACGCCGCGGGGGTGGAGGCTCATGACGTGGTACGTCAACACGGAGCTGCGCGAGGTACCGACAGGTGTTCCGGGGCAACGACGAACTAAGAGTCGGGCAGGCCTCGAA